TCGTGTACACCAAGACAGGGGCAGTGGTGAGCGTGCTGAGCAAGACGCAGAAGGCTGCCAGCTGCAGAGAGAACATGGCGCCTTCATCGCAGCCCTGACCAGAGGGACACAGAGCAGAAGTGGGTTGGTACCTCCCGGGCTGGCCTGGCATCTGCCCTTCACCAGGTGCCTGGGACCATCTGGGACCTCCCCTGATCCCACCCCAGCCCCAACACACCTTCTACATCAGGGTGAAGAGTGGGCAGTTGGCCCAGAAGCCATCTGAGAGCTCACCCTAGCTGGTCGTTCCCAGCTGCAGCTGGAGTCTGGCTCTTTGGCACCTCTGATCTGGCTCGAAGGGGAGGGGGAAGAATCCGGCCCTGAGAGCTCTGCCTGAGCACTGCTGGTTTCTTGTGCAGCTGTCGTGTACACCAAGACAGGGGCAGTGGTGAGCGTGCTGAGCAAGACGCAGAAGGATGCCAGCTGCAGAGAGAACCCTGTCCATGTTGCTATGGTGAGTAAAAGACTGTAGCTGGAGAGACAGACACACACATGGGAAAGGGGGGTTATTGGCTCCTTCCCTTGATGAGGAGCCGGCAGATGGAAATTCCTGGGTATGGGCTCCAGTGCCCACTCACATAGCCCTGGGCACAGGCTGCCAGTGCCTCTGTCCCCGTTCCCCGAAGAGCAAACCCACCTCCCCGGGCCGGGGCTCGCTGCTCACACTCGGCCTGTGCCTTTCCCTGCAGCTCATCGCGAAGCACCTGCAGTCGAGTGACCTCATGCCCTTCAGCTTCACCCTGCTGGTGGGCCTGCTGGAGAAGGAGGAGTGTGCAGACCAGCTGGCGGGCGTCATGGAGGCGGTGCTGAGAGAGCAAGAATCAGAGCTGCAGGGCCAAGTAATGGCTGGGCATTGGAGGCACCATGCTGACATCTCGGGCAGCTCCATCTTGCCCCGTGCCTAGAATTCCTGGGGCACGAGGGAGGATGTGGAGGGGAGACATCCCTTCTCACCATCATTGATCAATGGGACCCATCCATGCCCTGTCTGCAAGGGGGCCGCTGGGCACGGCCCTGTAATGGTTTTCAGGCTTTGATCCCAGGAGTCTGGCTTGCCCAGCTCACTCCCTGGGAAATGTGCCCTATCTCCAGACCCATCCCCCAGCTGGAGGAACAGAGCCTGCGGTGGGGTCCCCCGTGTCCACTGACTCTTTGCCCAGTGGGCATGGATTGACGTACAGGATGGAAATGCATCCCAGACGCTTAGACCCCACTCTGGTGCTGAAGCAGCCCAGGCATGTTGTCACAAGGGGAGGTACAGCCGGGATATCCGGGGGGTGGGGTGTCACTGGGCAGCGGGATTGGGACCCTTAGTTCTACGGTGCTGGATCACGGGTGGGGGTTTCAAGGTACCGAACCCAGAACCCCCCTCGGCTCAGTCACTCGCTAGGAGAGTTTATCCATGGCCTCCGCCGGGCCATGTGACTGCTGCCTTGTTTCTGAGCCTGCCCAGTTCCTCCTGGCCCTTGCCTGCCACCCACCCACAGCGGGGGTAGGGTCTCAGCCCCTGCTTTGCCTCCGCAGGTGCAGGATCTCCAGGCGGCTCTTTCCTACACACTGAGCCCACCCCGGGGGGGGCGGCTGAGTGAGGGGACGAGAGACATTCTCCACCTACTGGCCAGACAACACACCAAGGCCGCGGTCAGCATCCTCCTGAAGATGCCCTGGCCTTACAAACGGTGAGCGCCGGCCCCAGGGAAAGGATAGAACACCCCACTCCGGCCTCCAAGCCCCGCCTTAATGGGATCACTCCACAGCACCATGGTTACATGCAGCACAGCCCCTCCCCTTGCACACAGGCCCCCAGGGAACAGCCCTGCCCCGGCATAGCCTCCCTGTCCCTTGGAGGGCTCCGTGTGCTCTGGGACCCCCGGCTCAGGGCTCCCCCAGCTGAGCTATTCCTAACACAGCTGTCACCCTCCCCCACTTCGTTCTGTGCACTGCTAACCAGTCCACCCCATCCCGGTTCGGCTGTGCAATGGCTTGGCTGGGTGGGGGGCAGAACAGTCTTCCAGCCCCCACTCCCCCCATCACTACACAGACCAGGAGAGACCCCATGTGAGCAGGGTCACCTCCTCTGTCAGCATGGCCCCCCGCTCCTGGCAGGGCATCCCTCCAGGCTGAGGTAGGAGAGGGGCCAACCTAACTGCATTGCCCCCACAGACGCCCCTACACTGAGCATGTCCCCGCAGGGGCACCCCCTCCCCGCAGCTGGGAAATGCCCTCTCCCCCCTGGAATCCCAGCCTGGTATCTTCCCCAGGATTTGCCTGGGCACAGTTATTGCTAGACCCAGCATTTCTCTGCTGCTTTTCAGCCCATTTCTACTATCAGCTTTTCTTTCCAACTGACTGCTCGGTTGGGCCAGTCACTGGCATGCCTCCAAGAGGAGCTGACCTCTGACCTGGGTGGGGACAGGGACAGAAATGTGGATCCACCCATGTTCAAGGCCTTGGGCAGGGCAGTATTAGCCCCAGTTGCTAATTTACCTCTACATTTTTTAATCCCTCCACACCTCGCCTGGAGCTGGTGAGGCTGCGTGAGCAGGGGCCCCCAGCACACAAAAGGCCAGACTGCTACTGGTCCGAGTGGGTTAAATGATTTGGGCTCAAAGAGCCAACAGCAGCGTCAGCCAGCATGTGATAGCTCCAGGCCAGGTTCTGGCATGGCTGGAGTGTTGCCCCGCACCTCAGCGCTGCCCCAGGACTCCCACATACCCTGCCCCTTACAGCTGTGGAGCCTTTGCACTGATGCAGTGGCTGGCTCCACCTCGTAGCACACACTGTGCCCTGCTCCTAGCAAGGCGGGATGCAGCGGCCGACACACTAGAGAGGATGAAACCTACAGTCAGTCCCCACTTGAAATTCCCAAATAGCAGCCGCAGGAGGGCGGGTAAGAACGCTCACGTCATCACTTTGGTTAGGAATCCATTTATTCCAGAGCTTGGCACCTCATCACACCAGTCACACTCCTTGTTAGAGTCTCTCACTGCTACACAGCTGGCAGGCGTGTCGCTCATGTCCTAGTCTGAGCAACAGCACAGGCAGCTGTGGAGGAAGGCCCTGCAGCTTAGCGCTTAGCCCTGCTACAGGCATCGCCCCTTCCATGGGCCTCACTGCATTGCTTCTCAACCAGCATCGATATACCACAGCACAAACAAGAGCCTAGGAACACTGGGCAGATACCTAGACACAGCCACTCGACGATATTTAGGCACCTAACGGCCACTGAAATCAGTAAGTACCTTTATAAATCTGTCCCCTCGTGCCTGGCCTTACAGGCTCAGCCCTGCCAGTGGCCATGCGCTGTGTCGCTCTCATGAGCCCATTCTGCAGAGGGGGAAGCTGAGCCTCAGAGGTGCCATGGCTGGCCTAGGGTCACTCAGCATGTCAGCAGCAGACCAGCCAAGCGAGATCACCTTCAGAAGGGCACAGAACATGGGGTCAGTTTGGATTAAAAGATTTTGTTTCACGAGGCAGAACTTTGTGACTAGGAGTTCCCCGAAGCAGATGCCTGCTGGAAATAAACAACTGGGCAGGAACCACCCACTTTCCATGCACTTCATTCCCCAACCACCCTGCAGTCCCCCTCCCCTCCTTCAGCTCTTCGCCTCTCCTCTTTTCCCACTTCCTTGCTGTGGGCTGATGCTAGACCATTACACCACTCGCTTTGCAGGGGCACAGAC